AAATTATAAAATGGTGGCAAGAACATAAAAAAAGTTTTCCTATATTGGCGAGAATTGCAAAAGATATACTTGCAGTTCCCGCTTCATCCGTTGCTTCCGAGTCTTCTTTTAGTGCAGGTAGAAGAGTGTTAAATGAAAAAAGATCTCGCTTAACTCCGGAAAGCATTAAAATTTGTGTTTGTAAGAAAGATTGGGATCAAGCTGAAAGAAGAACTCAAGGTTTAAAGGAAGACGATGAAGATGATCCTGTGATGATATTGGAGTCGTCAACGGATGATGCAGCTTCCGGGGATGATGATGCAACAAACATGGGTGGCTAGAAAAGTCTAAATCAGGTATGCTAAGAACTACGTGGGCTTTGATTCTTTCGGGATACGTAGGCAACTTATTTTTCGAAAATTACAATTTAATTGCAAAATTAAATTTTAGTTTTCTAAAGATAGGTCCAAGCCCCCCCCCCCCCCCCCCCAAATTCCAAAAAAAGTACAATATAAGTACTACGTTGGCTTTGATTCCTTATTTTATAATGTAAGGATACGTAGGCATCTTAATTAAGAGCAACTGAGCAAGCCATCAAATTGTTAATTTTGTAAAAATTAAAACACCACACAACCCACCCGACCCTAACCCACGAACCCACCCAACCCTAACCCACCCTTCGACCCACCCTAACCCACTAACCCACCTTGACCCGTCTAACCCACGAACCCAGCTCGACCCACCCACTGCACGACCTGTCTAACCCACGAACCCAGCTCGACCCACCCACGACCCGTCTAACCCACGAACCCAGCTCGACCCACCCACGACTCGTTTAACCCACGAACCTAACCCTGGTGTGTCCAACTTCTCCCACCCAACCCACGACCCGGCCCACCCTACCCTACGTGTGTCGTGTCGTGTGTCATGAAACCCCAACCCGCGACCCACCTAACCCTAACCCAGCTCGCACGACTCGCACGGTGGACACCCCTAAATATGGCGGGTCTTTACGATCGTCTAAATATAGCTCCATAAAGTCACTCCAACAATAAGTTATTTATCTAGAGTATTTAGTATAGATCAAGCCCCAATTTTTTTTTATTTTTTTTGAGCAAAGAGCAAGCCCCGATTTATAACCTAGATAAACAAAAAATATTATCAAATGGCATTTTAGTAAATAAGTTGCATTAAAATTTGTGTTTTTTTAATTTAAAAAATATATTTTTTTATTGTTTGTGGGCCGTTGTGACAAGTTGGACCGAACTTTTAAAGTTAACACCGTTAACTTCTATTCACCTTCTTTTTCCTCCCACCTTCTTCCTCTGTTCATGTTTTTTCTATAATGGGTCACCGTGTTTTTAGCAAAAATCAAACCATAAATCACACTAAGTTTCTTGCCTCCCACCTTATCGTGTTTTTAGCAAGTGGTTGTTTAAGAAGTGGAGCCATTAAATGCGGGAGTTGTTAAACATCGCTCGCATTTTACCGGGCGTCGCTCGCAAATTTAACGTGAATTTCCTAATTTGCCCCTAGGTTATAAATATTCACGAAACTCACATAATTCACATTTCACGCAACTAATTAACTTTCTAAACCACTCTCTTTCTAAAATCACTTCCTCTCTCTAAAAATCAAAAATTTCTTTAAAACAAAATTAGGTGTGAATCGCAATGGCAGACAGGCGGCGCATCAGGCTTACCTTTGGCGGTCGTGGTGTCGGCGTTGGAGGCGACGGAGAGCAGGTATTTCTGGATTTTGATAATTTTTTTTTGACGGAAAACTGGACTTCCGCCTGAAATTTCCGGAAGTCCAGTAGGATTTCCGGAAATTTAAGGCGGAAATAAGACATCCGCCTTAAATTTCCGGATGTCCTTTGATATTTCCGGAAATTTAAGGCGGATCTTCATATTTCCGCCTTAAATTTCCGGAAATCCTACTGGTCTTCCGGAAATTTCAGGCGGAAGTCATGTTTAACGGGGTTTTTTTTTTTCTCGTATGTGGTATTTTTGTTGTTGTCGTATTTCGTAATCTGTATTCCGTATTTCGTGTTTAACGTATTTTTGTTTTATTTAATTTAATTTTAATTTTATGGATGTTTGTGTATGGATTTTTGTTAATTATATTTTTAAGGATTTTTGTTTGAATTTTTTTTTTTGTGTTTATGGATTCTTGATTTTTTGTATATTGATTAAAAACAAAAAAAAATAGTTTCTTTGTTAATGTTGTTGTTTTGTTTAATGTTGTTGTTAATGTTGTTGATGTTGTTGATGTGGAAGTTGTTGTTTTTGTTGTTTTTGTTGTTAATGTTGTTTTTAAGGTTTGTTTTTATTGGTTTAAGTTTGTTTGTTAGTTTTAGTATTTTTACTTTTCTTGCGTTGTGGTTTATCTTAATTTTTATTTGCGAGGGCTATCATGAGGCCGGAGAAGGCTAAGAGACCAACCAACCTGAAGATGTATCGGGTTGAGTTTCCGACCGAGATGACATCATCTTTGTGGAGTCGATTTGTCCCTGGGTTGTCGTTCAGTATTGTTGTTGGAGCATTGATTAGACTCGGCGGTGGAGGTCCCACGGTTGCCCCTGGTTACATGCAGTGGTTTTATCGATTTTCCCATCCCCGTATTCCTCCGGGATCGTCGTCGTTTGACCAGGTTCACCGGCTGCCAGAGAGGACTAACACGGACTATGTAAGTGCTATCGCTTTTTTATAGTTTATATGTCATTCATACTACTGTGGTTTACCTCCTTATTGTGTTGTTCTTTTAATTGCAGTGGATGGGTCGAGCGATGGAGGTGTTATGCCGGTCGGTCGATGAGCGTGGGCACATGACGCCGGACACCATGGCAATGGCTCAGCAGCTGATAGCGGACTGGAAGGCGATGATCGGGCTGTGACCGCACTTGTCTTTATGTACTTCGTATTTTGAGAACAGTTTTTAATTTTTATTTTGTACTTTTAATTTTCGACACTTTTCATTTGTACTGTGTTAATTTGTTACAAATTCCTTCGTTTTATTTAGTTTGGTTTATTGTCTTAATTTTGTACTGTATTATAATAATTACATAAAAAAGATCACAACAATTTCAATAATTACATAAAAATGATCACACCAATTACTATAATTTGATTACAATAATTTGATTACAATAATTTGATTACAATAATATGATTACAATAATTTGATTACAATAATATGATTACAATAATTTGATTACAATAATATGATTACAATAATTTGATTACAATAATTTGATTACAATAATTCGCGCACAAAGACCACATAAGTCTATTTACTAGTTGAATAGAGCATCCCACATGTTCCTCCGCGCTTGATAATGCTGATCCCATCCGTGAACACTGGGCTCGTGGTTCTCTGTCCACCATCCTGCGATCGGGGGAAGAGGTGAGTTCTCTGCAAGGTCAAGACAGATGAAGTAGGATGCGCCAACAGTAGCGATCGCAAATTCACGAGTGGGAGCTCTGGCTGTGTTCCGCGCACGCAACGGTAGTACAGTGAGACAAGGGTAATAGCAGTTAGGTACGGTACCGACACCAAGAATAATAACCAGTGCGTTGAACCACGTGGCAATAGGAAACAGATCTTGTATTGCAACCATCCAGTGTCGTGAATCAACCGCCCCGCCATCCCATCGGATGCGCTCCACATTCAGTGATACCCTGCCTAATCCGTAAATTCTCTCGTACAAACCATGGTGAGAGCCGACCTCATTCTCTATGATTTCACGGGCGTTATACCAGTTCGCTTGACCATCGAGGAAGAACTCTGCCACACAACAAAATCCATAGTTACCGTCGCCAATGACATCTTTCCACCCCGTGATATAAGGCAACATCGGTCCTAGCAGCAGGTGCAAATACCTGCATTGGCTGATGTCACCTAATTCTTCGGCGTCTGCACAATTGTCATGTTTACGATATTACTATGTAACATAATTGATTATAGTTGACAATAACACACCGGATTGAGTCGTACCTGTTTGCTGTGCACCGGTTTGAGTGTTTCGACGATCCACATGTTCGAAGTAACTTAGGTTACGCCTTGTATCATTGTTCCTTCGGCGACCTCGAACGTTGTGGTTCGCTTGCGGTTCTTGTTGATTTGAATGGTCTGGATGCAGCTCCTCCTCAATGATTCGAGACACATTTCGCAGTACAGCGCGATCACTAGCGACGACCTCATCAACCAGGGAACGGAAATGTGCAGCTTCCTCGTTCGAGTCGTTGTAGAACTCAGGTTCATCAACACCGTCGCCGATGACCAAGGTCTTCCAGAACGGATGAATTTGACTTGTATACAGGCCTGTTTCGGCAACCAGCGAATCATATATCCGGCAAGCACACGGCACACCGTGGGTCACTGGCATTGCACATCCGCATCGCTCGTGCACTTGGTAACTCAGCTCTCTCATCCGCTTCGTCTCGCCATCCAGAACCTTCAGACAATGGTGGGACACCCTGCCATTAATACGAGACAGTGGCAACTGTCTGTACATCTCACCAATCTTCGACCTAGACCCTTCCAAAGAGTGACGAATGGCAATGATCTGATTGCCAATATGACAATGCACTCGGGCCCACACAGTGTCCAGCGCTCCTGTCAATGATTAACATTATAAAAAAACCGTTACGATTTATAAGTAAAAGAACTAAAACAAAGTAAATACTGATTACAGACCTGTTGAAGATTCGAACCACATCTTTACAGCCAAATGTTGACTCTCAACTCTGCACGTACGTGCTCGTGTTACCGAAGTGCAGCACCCGGTTCGTCCAGCATGTCACGAATTTGACCTTATGACAGAGCCAGGTTCTCTCAACATATGTAATCACATTCGGGAAACTAGCCCACCGAGTTTTCAGTTTATCTACGGCAGAATCGTAAAGCGCCTCGGTGGTAGCATCCATGACACGTTTCCAAACACCGTTCTTGAATTGGGCCTCGATCTTCTTGTTCTTGAACATATTAGTGACCCGGGCCTCCACGTCTTTGTTAATGTGCTAACGACACAGAAAATGCGCCGTCCCAGGAAACACCTCTCTCAATGCAGCACAAAGACCGAGCTCACGGTGCGTCAAAAACACCAACGGCTCCTTATCATACCCTATCAGCTCTCTCAATCTCTGTAGAACCCACCGGTAGCTATCCGTGCACTCGTTGCGCATGAACACGTAACCCACTAGGAAATTCTGATTTGTGGGTGTGACGCCAACTATCTCAAAGAACGACATCCCGTACCGGTTGGTCTTGTACGTAGAATCCATGCCGATCACATGCGGGTACGTGCGTAGTATGTTCACCGTTACAGGGTGAACCATAAACGCATGTTGGAGAACGCCTTCCTCATCGGCCTTGACCCAGAACAGATACTTGCTTTCTCTCGCCAGATGAAGAAACTGTTGGACCACTCCTCTCCCGTCGGACATCTCTGCCCTCAAGTCATTCCGGCAATTGTAAATATGCCGGATGTTTGGATGATCACCGGGAAATTGCTCTGCAATGGTCGCCATGATGTTACGCGGCGCAACCTTCGACTTCGTCAAGTCGCGGACAACCTTCTTTGCATCCGGACTCAGGCCACTAATCTTACGGTGACCCTCCGGATAAACAATAGTTGGGTGATTATGGGTCCCAGTTGCGTCGTTTTTTGCCCGGATCCTCCAACTATCGGTAACAAGCACGTAGTAAATCTTGATGTAGAACGGACAACCAATAGCTTTCGTTTTTGTGTCCCTCCGAACTGCATTCTCGAGATCCCTCGGCTGACTCTTTCGTCCCCTATCACACCTCAAATACCGGTAAGGCCTACCATCTCTATTTTTGCAATAAGATGCTTTAACAAGGACAAATCCCAGATTTAGGGCAACAGCATCCGCCCAGTCAGCGGCAGATTCGAACGTTGGAAAGACCGTGTCCGTGACAAAATGTTCACTGTAGTTCACACATTCGGCGTCGTTTTCGTTATCCGAACCCTAAAATAATAAAACCATCACAATATAAATAAATAATTATAACTACAGCAATAACAACACTAACAACAATAATTGTTTCGGGTTTTTCTGATGTCCTGCGGGAGAGTTACAATTCCGAGACTGGAACCGGACGCCTGTACCTGCAAAATAACGGAGACTCCTGAGAGCTCCGCCTCCAACGGTCAAGTTAGTACCTGATTAAGGAGTAATTAATACAGAAATTAAAGTAATGAGATTTCTCTAGGTGAGAGTGCTTAGTGTTGGTAATCTGCGTCGTTAGCGAGATTAGCCGGTTGTTAATAACTCTGTTCTTCTCTGCTTGATCTCTTGATTATTCGATTCTTTTCTGTTGTGTGATTAATGAGGATTAATCGAGTATTTATAGCCTTGAGAAGCGTGCAACTCTCTAGGTTTAAGGTAAACCTAGGGCTGATCAGGCCTCTAGACTGAATTGGGCCTTGATAGCCGGTTGTCCCATTTGGCATGGGTGGACACGTGGCGTGTCTATAGTGGTCCGTAGAGGACATATCTGTGACTGACACGTGGCAGGCTCCTGTTGTCCTTCGTGAAGGACACGTGGCGGAACCTGGTTGGTCCACTTGTCAGAAGGTGATTGGTGGATAAAAACCCCCTAATCATTTGCCCCTCACAGGTGGCACGTGACTGGTCACGGGTCGCCTGTGACAGGTGTCGCACGGTGACAGGCGACGGCCTGTTACAGGTGTCATCTTGCAAACGGCCGAGAGATTTTCCCGCCCACATTTTGAATTTGGAAGCGACCTTTCGCCTTCTCACTTTGCCTATAAAAGGAAGTGCTGACTTCGGTCATTTTCACATTTGAGAACTTTGCGAGAACATTCGGACCCCTGAACTTGCTCTGACATTTCGGACCTTTTCTGCCTACCGCCTGTTCTGACAAGCCGACTGACCCGAACTTTCAGGACTTCATCAACCGTCACTCGTTCAGGTAACTTAGTTCTCTTACTCTTAATTTTCTTTTTATTTTTTGAAATGGCACCATGGAAGCACACGACACGCCCTAAGTTAGTGATCAGCCGGTCACCAGGGACGGCTGAATCTAGGACTAGGAGTGCCGCCTGCCCTTTTCTGGACCCATCTTTGCCCTTTATACAAAGTCCGACTGTATCTGTGTCTATGCAGAACGTGATGGCCAGAACAAAAAAGACTGCTATGATATCAAACTCAGACGACTCCTCCCAAAGGGTGCTCCTTAGTGAAACATCTGACCAGGCGCCAGATGTAGAACGAGGCGACTGTCAAGCTGACAGTTCTGAGAGAGGGGCCAAGGTGTTCCCTTCCCATCTTACCGTGGACATGTCTAATTTTCCTTCTGCTCCTTCTAAGGGAGAGGAGGCGGGCCCCTCTAGGAAAGGGGAGGAGTCGTCCTCCTCGGACTCGTCAGAGGACGAGTCTGAGTCCAGTTCTTCTGGCCACAGTTCTCCTGGCTCAGAAGAAAAACATAGCCGCCTACAAGAGGCGAGACGTTCTCATGCAGTTGAGAAGGGGGACAATTGGGCGGAGCCGTCCGCCTCTTACAGAGAGGAAAACGCCCCCTACTACTGCAGGGTACCCCGGGGCCGGATCACCACCATGCAAGACAACGTGGCGAGCTTTATTGCTAACCACAAAATGGGCCCGGAGTTTTTACTTTTTGTGCCGGATCCAGAAGATACTGTCGTCTGGCCGGCTGGTACCAGCTATGGTGACGGCTGCTTTGGTTGCTATGTGGCGGCCATCAAAGCTGGACTGCGCTTCCCATTACATCCGGCTGTTCAGCGGATTTTAGATGGGTATGATCTGGGGTTATGGAAGTTAGCCCCCAACTATTGGGTAAACGTACTCGGCTATGTGGCCGGGTGCGAACTGAACGGGGTGGAGCCAAGCTTTGAGGCTTTCGCCCATATGAACTATCTCAGCCGGACCCCTAAGTCGGGAGGTACCGGCTGGTATCAATTAACAAGCCATAGGGGTTACCTCATGACTAGAGGTAAGGCAAACAAATGGAAGGATTGGCGGAACACCTTCCTTATTATCGAGGGTTCAGACACGGAGCTGAACAAACGCTTTAACAAGTGGAATAGGGATCCGCCTCTTCTCGCAGGCGGCCGCAGCATGCCGCCTGTTCCCCCAAAGGCTAAAAAAGAGATCCTAGACAAAGGACTCTTCAAAGTAGAGACTAGGGTGAACTCTACTTCAGGGGTACGAGAGCAAGTACCCCTAAACTGCGTCCCGAGCTTCAAGTGGCTCTATGACGAGTACTTTTTGGCCGCCTGTGGCCTCGGCAGTCGGTGCTCTAGAGGTAGCCGGCCTGACGAATACTCTGTTTTTTCACGCCTTGTTTACTTGGGATTTTTACTAACTTTGCTGTTTATTTCTTGCAGCTGACGCCATGAGTAAAATAACAGCATCTAAGACTGCGGCGGCCATGCTGCGGGTCTCGCTAATGAAGCAGTCGTATGCCGACTCCCCCAACAAGGAGGCACCCTTGGTAAGCTTTGAAAACTCTTCCCCTTTTAGTCGTCTTATGCATATACTAACTCTTTTTGTTTTCAGTCTGGCACTCCAAGGGCTTCTTCCTCGCAACAGCCGGACCCCAAGGCCCGGAGGACGACTGTTGCAAGCTCTCCTGGGTCTTCCAGGAAAACAGTGGCGGCTGAGAAGCAGCCGGCCACTTCTTCAAAAACCCAGGCGGGGCCGCCTAGATGTATGGACACTCAATTGTAAAGCTTACCCTTGCTTCCTTCTTGATTAGGTCTAACTTGTTTTATCCTTTACTTAATGCAGCCGGCCCCCAGGGACTTGACTTGGTTGAGGTAGCCAAGTCAATGGTTAAAGTAGTTCCTCCATCTGACAGGGAGGCGGTCAGGGGTGCCGGCACCCTTGACCTTGATGGAATTTCAGGGGTCCTTGCTGAGGTATACTTAGTATATTTTTGAGCTTTTGAGTTCTAGGACGCCTGTTAACTTTTTATCTGGAAACTGACGCCTGTTTTTCTTTGTACTTAGGCCCTGCTCCGAGTCAACAGCCTTCGCAAGCCGATTGATCGGAAAAACAAAGAGGTAAAGGCCGCAAAGGCTATGGCCGCCTCCAGCTGTGATAAGGCAATGTTTCAAATTGCCCAAAATGAAGTACTGACCATTGATCTTCTTTATTATCAGGCGCAGGCGACCGCCGCTGTTCGGGCTCAGCTAGAGGCGGCCCAAAAGAAGGTTGACGAGCTGGAGGGGACCGTCACCAACCTTAAAGCCGAGCTGAAACCTCTTCGCCAAAAAATGCACTCTTACGAAGCCATGGAGAAATCTTTGGCCAACGTAAAAGAGCGCCTGGTGAACCAAGAGAAGAGTCTTACCCAAGAGCTCTCGGATAAGGCCGAGCAAGAGAAACAAGAGCTCGTCCGGGAGATGGTGGAAGACTCCGCTCAAATCCAACGCATGACCTGGGAACGACTGTTCCCCAGTGCCGACTTTGCCTCATGGGAAAGAACGTACCGCCAGTGTTCGGAAATATATAATCAACAGATCCTGGCGGCTGCTGAAGAAGAGGCGTTGGACGGTGCGTTGGAGGAGGAAGAGCCGGTTGTGGCGCTTGTGCCACTTGGGGGTAAGGCATCAAAAGATGGTGCAGCTAAGGCCGAGTCCAGCAAGAAGAGTGCTGACCAGGCGGCTGCTGCTGATACTGAACTGCCCCCTTCTTAAGCTTTAAGTATTTTTTCTTTTCACGGCCTGCGTGCCGTTTGCTTTGTAATTACCCGGCCAGGGGGCCGGGGTTTTGAATATTCTGCTGGTCTTTTATGGCCGGCTCATTTTTAATCAAATTTTTTGTTTTGGTTCAAATTTGTCTAAGTATTTGAAATTTGCTCACTAGACCGACTGTTGTGTATGGCCGAACGTTAAGACAGGTACAAATAGTAAGTATGCCGCCTATGCCCCTGGACGACTGGTTGTCTGTGTCCAGGATAGATGATCAGTCGGCCATTTAATCAATCGGTATTCGAACTCTTTATTCAATTTGACCAAGTAAATAGAATTACCTAGTAGCCAGGGAATTAAGTAGGAAAACAAGCGGCGGGTACCAGTTGTTTCCCTTTATCGCCAATGTTGGCTTTTAACTCGTTATTTGTTAACCTAGCAAGAGTATTGGTTGAGAGCCTTTGTTTATTAAAAACAAGTGGACGACTCATACCTTTTAGGCTCCATACTAAGTTTGAGTGACTATTAAGTTAACATAGGAGTTACTTAGTCTTTGTCACAATCTTGATTGAGTAGTAGAGGTATCAGGCGGCGTAGGCCGGCTAGACCCCTTGATTCACCAATGTTTGTTGGCGATTAACTCAATAGGTTATCCAGTAGGAATAGGGGTTCGAGTGCCCTTGTTTGTTTAAAACAGGCGGACGACTCAAACTTTTTGGATTCCATACCAAATTTGAAGGAGTGACTATGAGTTAACTTTGGAGTTACTCAGTCGCCGTCACTTTTGTTTGAGAAGTAGAGGTACCAGGCGGCGTAGGCCGGCTAGACCCCTTGATTCGCCAATGTTTGTTGGCTATTAACTCAATAGGTACCCCCTGCATTTATCCCAAGTAATACAGGCGGTTATCTGACTCAGATGTCAACTGCTACCACTGGTTTGGTTAGTGATAGAGTTATCCTTGTCTCAAAAACGGCTACGTGGTTGCCCTTGGGGACAGTCGTATAGGTGCCGTGTAGTTAGTTTATAGAACAATGTTCCACCCAAAAGGGAGCTGCTCTCTGCGACGAATTTCATCCGGATGGATGCCGTCGGACGCCTGCTATGATGTTGGGACAGGTCGAATTAGTTTTGTAGATTTGATCAGTTGGCTTGGCGCCTGGTCTGATCATTCGGCCGGTGGCCTTGGTAAGTTCTTGGTGAACGTAGGTGCTAAGTAAAAGAAGGGTAGCCGCCTGTTAGGCACAGGATCGGCCAGGCCCTAATCTTTTTAGCTAAGTATTGTGAGTAAA